TTCCTTCCCAGATTGATTTGCAGCTGAAAAGATTGGTAGCCCCCCAGAGGTGATTGTAAATCCCTACTTCAGTGGCAATTTATGGAGGTGCCTGAGTTTTGTTAAATGTTCACTCAACCAGACTAAATGCCAATCGACATTGTATCATACGGTTGAAGCCAATAATCGACGGTCTTTGCATTCGGTTGTCAGGCATCACAGATTTCCAAAAAAGTGAGTCATGAAGTCTCTGTCATACGTTTTAAATGTCTGCATACATTTCACATGGCTGTAGTATTACTATACTTGATTATTAAAGTGTCTTAAATTAACTACCTGATGGATTTCTTTGAGTTATCCACTCAGGCAGACGCTTTACTCATGTGATTTATTACGTGAGTGCTTTCATTGTAGGTCAGCATAATCAGTACCTCCTGCTTTCTGTTGCTCAACTTAAGAAAGTCCACTTGTCTGTTGTAGGTGTCTTTCGGTCTCTCTGCGTTAACAATTAACTCTGTGGAATTAGCTTGTAAACAAAAGTGCTGTAAAACTTGATAGGTCACAGGACATTAGCCTTTGTTAGGTGAATTTCAATGCAAAGCCTTGTCGCAGCCCTGTAAAAAAGACATGCACCATCAAGTCTGTGGATACAGAAAGGTTTCCAGAGTTGGAGGGAAAATCTAATTTTGTTACTTTACACTTTCATTTTACACTACGGAGCTCGTCGGCTTGTAGTAATTCTCCTGGGGTCTTGTGGTGCGTGTACACTGCTGAGGTAAAAAAGGAGCACAGACTTGTGAGGGTGAGCCTTCTAGGGCATGGAAAACTAATCAGGGGCCAAAACACTGCTGTCGAAAATGCAGCTTGTAACTGTGTTTATGGAGCCGTTGCAGGCTGCGCCAACACAAACCTCTCCGGTCTGGGTTTATCACCTCCAGAGACGGCCATGATTAGCTCCCCACACTGCTAGCCATATATCTCAGCTGTCCCACCTCCCCGTGCTCAGGATGACCCATTAAACAGAGATGGAGAAAGAGAGAGAACATGAGTCGAAGAGATGGAAACGATGGAGAGCAGAGATGCTACCTGTAGTTAGTGTAATAGTAGTGTTTACTCAGCCCTTGCTCTCTCTCTCTGCGCAGCTGTGTCTCGCATTGTCTGTTTGTGGACTACCGTTTCTGTATGGGTGGCCACTCCCTTGCCACACACACGCATGCACACACAGTGGGGGTTATAACTTGAATGACAGGCACCTGATGTGGGTGGCAAACAAGCAAACAGGATAGGTGTGTATTTTTTGTTAAGTTCCCCTCCCCTCTGTACTCGCTCTAAGAGCTCATTGTCCTCCACAGTTTACCGTTTCAGATGTTCACATCCCATTGTTCCTTTGTTAATTACTTCACTAAACCTCTCAGTCATCTGCTTATAATGCAGGATATATATACAGTATATGTCACGCTCTGCATTACTAAGAACTCCCCAGACACTTCAGACTCCAAAGCTTCTTTCTAAAGGATTTCAAGAAGTGGATGTCCTGACGAATAGGGCTAAGGTTATTTCAACTTCAGTATCACTTTAATAACCTTCTGTTCTCTTTCATGTTTTCTGCAATAAAATGTTAGAGTAGAGTCCTCTGTCTGTATATAGGACACACGATCTTGACTTCTTGAAATTGCACACAAGACCCAGTGTTGCACCATAAATTGTGTTTAGCCTTGGTGCAAACCTCAGAATCACCACCAACATGTCTAGTTTTGTTGAGTGACTCAAGTTTTGGGCTCTTTGTTGTAGGTGTCAATGTTATAAGTGAGAATGAGGTGGAGGGAACTAACAACATCTCAGACTTTGTCTTGTGTATTATTTACCTCTATCAGGACACCTCATCAAGGTCACCGGGTTAATCAGCTAATTATGTTTGCTTAAACACGTGTTTGCTTGTGCTAACTGTACACTGGCTAACACAGCCTCAGTTTGTGTCAGTCAGAATTGATTGGCAATTATGTTCAGTCAGAAAAATATGTAGATATGTATGCAGTATATGTTGTTGCTTACTGGTTTATAAAACATTATTTTAGTTTGCACTGCAGTTTCAAACGATATTAATTTCGATAATATACTTAAGCTGTAAAACAATAAGCTCCTGAGTTCATCCTGACTGATTATGTGATTACTAACTAGGATCTCAGTTTCTGGTGAAATAATCTGGATGATCATTTCAGCCATCATAATGCTGTGCTAACCCTGTCTCCCACTTTCCCCTCTTACTCTCACACACTAACCAGACATCAGAATTAAATCATTAAAAAGACAGAATGATTCACATACAATCTCACAAGGGCAGACATCCACCCCTACGTGTTCTTTCTGTTTCTCTCTCGCTCTCCCACATAGTTGCAAACAATGTCTTCCTGTGTGCCGCACCACTTGCTCAGATTTTGGATTACACTGCACCATTTCCACGTTGGTGCCCTTTCCTTCTCTCAGGAGCACTACCGCCACAGCACAAATGCACATTGTGGAAAGTGTTGTCCCATAGTATTTGTGTGCAGCTGGGAGGCACCAAACTGCATCAGGATAAATAAGTAGTTATATAAATAAAGAATAAACCTCGCTCTAGGAATTTGTCTCATTGAAGATGAAAAGCATCTGCCTCTCTCTGGCATCTGCTGTAAAAGATATCCCTCCACCGCCAAGGGTTTGGAGCACGGCGTGTAGCCAACTCTATCAGCCTCACTCACTCTCTCTACCCACCGACATGAACCAACGCAACGCTGGCGTACATAAAAATGAGTGTCAAAACAAATTTGTCAGCCAACAAACTTGATGTGAGTTACACTAATTTTGCAAAGCTAACTTGAGGTATTAACTTGAAATAAAACTGGGGCCTAAATGTCTTTTATTCTGGTTGCAGAGTAGGGGTGTGTGATCCAGTTCTTTGGCACCCTGAGCAGTGTATTTGTGTGGCTTTTTCTTCTACAGACTGCTAAAGCTTAACACACAAACAATTAGCTGCTTTGTAATCACCAGTAAAGGTGAAGGCACTAGAGGAATCTTTTGTTTTTTTCAAGTGGTTATAAAACTATTTTATCTGTATTTCTCAAAAATAAATAAAATCCCTGTTGCAGGGAGGATTATAATACAGTTTGATATGATCACAGCTTGAACTTTCACTGACGATAGATGGTGTTGGCTGCACACAGTGTTTGGAAATTCCATAGATGCAAGGTGTGTTGCAATGGAAATTGGTTCGTAGACATCAAAGCCTAGAGGCACATTCCTGTAAGTGACAAATAGTGAAGAAAAGATACGTCGACGATACCTGTCTGCAACTGTGCCAGGTGAGACACCAGCACCGTGACTCAGAAATAGCATTCCTTCACATCATTTTACTCAGCCAATGCCTGTCTTTTCCTTTGCCAAGAGACTTGTCGAAAGAGGTTAAAGCAGAGCGCAGATGAAGAAAAGGAAACTCTTGAAATTTTGCTTTGCTAAGATCTCAGCCTAGCAGTGTTTTCCTTGGTCTTGTTTCACAAAGAGGGTGGTCGAAGAGGTGCCCGGCGCGTGCGTTTTTTCAGTGTTTACACACGCATTGAAATAGCCACATGAGTAATGGGCTGCTCAACACCTCCACAGGCTTAAGAATGGAAAGGTTTTTTTTCCCACAAGATACTGGAGGCATTGTGTTCCTGACACTCTAACTTATTTAGCTGAACTGAATAGACTAAAGCTGACCGGCCACCCAGAAAGCCTCAAGATATTTCACATTGTGAGCGTTTCTCTCTTTCTCTTTTCACAAATATCAGCAATCAGTATTGTTCAGTTGCCACTATAAACTCGGCAGTGAGACTGAACAGATGAGCTGAGAAAGTTTTCAATTCAATTCCAATAGGCCTCTTGTAAAAGCTTTGTACAGAATAATTGTCAGGGAGCCCTTGAAGACAAAAGTAGGCTTACTTTAAAACTTTTAAAACTTTTCTCATTTTAGTTCTTTTTTTCTGAAGTCCTCTGGAGATATTGCTTTAATTTAAAGAGAGATACCTATCCTTACCATATCGTGGTCTGCTTTACAGCGTTATGATTACTCATCACAGATGGCCATGGGCATGAGTGTAGGGATAAGAAATTTAGTTAGCTCAGTTCATGGGGATACGCAGTTACTTTGTTTGTAATAGCATTAGGCATTGAAACTGCAGGCCATAACAAATTTAAGGTCATGTATCTAAATCTTATCAGTTGGCTTAGTCATTTCCTACACTATAATCTAATTCCTAAAAAGACAAAGAATCAGTACTTGTGCAGTTTAATTTGAGGGACAGCCTTTGTTTTTGCTTCCCCACCCACTACTTAACTTGATGGAGCAATGCTTTCTGCTTCATTGCTTGGTTAATTGTGGTTCATTTGTGGTACACCTGCTGCTACTTTGTTGACCGACCATGTCCCCCTTGGGGGGTGTTGTATGTTAAATGTTTATGTATGCATACATGTTGTCATATTATGAGATCATAGCACTTTGTGTTATTTGAACCCATCTGGAAGACACAGTTTCAATTTCTTAATGGGGAACATTAAGTGGGAGGTTGTCCTTAGGGAGTACTGTTTAGGAGGTCCTCTGGGTTTTTTACTGATCCCCATTGTGAGAGGATAGCTGAGGAGCTTAATCCTGCGTCGTGACCTCCCCTTTGTTCTTGTTATTTTCCTTCCCATGATTTCTCTGTAGCACTGTACTGCATTTGTAGTTTGCGTGTTACATTCGCTTCACTTGTATTTTCCCCTGCCCCGAGCAGGATTTTGTTGTGGGTATTTGATGCCTTGTTGATCGCGACCAAAGATCTCCAGTGTTGTATACTGTTGTTCTCTTACAAGTATACAAAATTTCTGTCTCCTTTGGTTCTGCTCTGCGACTTGCATTTGATGTTTCTGCTTTACTGTGTTATTATGTTCATTCAAATGTATGCAAATATATGGTGAGTTTGAATACTGATGTTTCTGTACTCCTGTTCTGCATGTGTTTTCTCTCCCAGGTGTTAGTCTTTGATCCTGTCAGAGTGGGACGTGTCTAGCAGGGGACTAAGGGGGGAGCAGTGCCAACTTGGAACATGGTGCCTAATATTCACCTGGCAGTGCCCCTCCTGCTCAGAGGGGCGTTGCTGTTCCTGCTTCTACTCAGCTGCATGGTGTTATCCTCTCTGGCAGACAGTAAGTAACCTCATTCACCTGTGTCCTGCCTTGCTTCAGGTACAATCTGATAAAACCTTAAGCCTCATAAGTATTTTGACAGTAAGAGCTCATTTGCTACACACAGCGAAATATACACACAATGAGAGGTTAAAAAGCAAGAATCATTTTAGATTTATTAACACATCTAGTGATCAGTTGAACAAATGCAGCCTTTTTGTAAATGTTCTAATCGCTTAAAGGTGCTGACATTATTATCCAAAGTTGAATTTAACCCACTACATTGTTGCACATATTATATTCACGGAGAACAAGTTTTCATGCTGTGCAGCGCAGAGCTTCTTTTAAAATAGAATATAGATTCCATTTACATTTGGTGTCTTTGGTGGATTGCAGCAACAGAAATAGCAGTTTATCTAATGCATGTCCCAGAGTATAGAGTGCTTTAACATTTGCACTAAAAATAAGTGTACAGTGCGCGCAGTGAAGCTCCATCAGCCTCTGTGACTGTCTGTCAATCTGAATGATGTTTTTTGCTGGAAGAAGGATCTCAGAGAGATGTGTCACCATCGCTGCGCTTTGAGTCTCAGGGGCAGCCGAGAGGCAATGCCCTGTCGAAGACGGGGTCAGGGACAGAATTAATTCAACACATGACCTCACCTATAGTGCTGTCATAGGGTCACTGTAATTCAATTATACCCCAACCCCTCCCATTCCCCCACCCGACCACGCCAACTGTCCTGTCCTTTCATACATGGGTCCAGTAGGATTTGTTTTTCTGTACCCTTTGCCTTGTCTCACTCACGCCCTGTGTTATCATCTTTGTCTCTTGCAGTGTGTCTAGAGTTTTGCACAGCGTCAGTGTGAACTTGACCTTGCAGAAAAGTTTTTGCACTCCTGTCGTTTTTCTTGTGGTCTGGCAAGACTGTCTTTGCTGTCGATATGTAATGTGAGCAGTATTACTTAAGCAAGACTTCAAAGATGTGCCCCACTGCACTGAATCCACTCTCAGACTTCTACACAGTGAGATGTGTTTGACTCAAGCTTATTCATGCTGCTTTTCCTATGCAACCTAAACCACTGAAATATGTTACAATATGTCTAGTTCCTCCATTGCATTCTGATATAAAATAACAATCTCTGAATACTAACAATTAGTTAAGAATTCAAATAAAATATGACTCGCTGATGATTAATTGTCTAAATGAAATTAATTAAATAACTGTGAGACATTAATTAATTAAATAACTGTGAGACATTTTTGGTTTATGAAAAATGAGCATGGGACTCCTCTTGACAAAGCAAATAAGATCTGCAACGTCAGTGATTAATTTATTGGTTATGAACCATGTTTATTGTCATGGTATGTTGTGCATGCTCTTCTATGCCTGCATTTTAATTGCCTCCGATGGGATGAGCAAAATTGATTCAATTGCATGTGCTTTTTAGAGACCATCAAGTAAAAAAGGTAATGTCAGGGGCATTAGAGGTGCCAAGATATTATTTAAATGTGCTGAGTCTGTCAGATGCCCAGTACAGACCAGAGTTTGGAAGGGACCTGGGTTATTAAACTGTGCAACTATTGTGCCGTTTTTAATCTACATTTTTGCAGATACCTATGTGTACAGGTGACTATTAAGCAAATATGCAGGATGGCTAAAGTCATTAAATATGTTATAAAATATATTTGTCATGGTTGTACCTACTGTATACTATTCCTTTATGGTATACTGGTCATCCGATCTCATTTTTACAAACAATCCAGAGGTATTTAATTGTGCACACATAGTTAGACACAGCTAGCTAGCTTGTGTTTTATTTTGTTCAATCTATGATCAGTGGGTTAATGTGGACAATGTTCTTTATTTTTGTAAATCTAGTCTTCTCTGCCTCTCTGTCGCCATCAGAACAAGATTGCCCCAGTCTCTTATTTCGGCAATCATATCATTTACGGATAAAAACAGAGCCAAGCATTTTAATTAACTGACAAAGATACTCTGCTGTGGTCAAGCTGGCACAAACGTTTTTATTGAAGATACACCCAAACATTGATACATGAATAAGGAACTTGAAGATGGAATTTCAGCTTAAAAGAAAGTTAATAAAAAATATAAAACTGGCTCTGGTCCCAGGTTAATCTATGGTTGTAGTTTAATGTAAGCACACATGGAAAAGGGCCTAGACTTGCTATTACCTAGACTATAAAGCAAACAGACATAGAATTAAAATAAGACAGTTGGGGGGCAAAAATAACACCTACCACTAATGGAAGGGTTGTGTGCATTTGATGCCTGTAATTTGTACACAACTTAGTTATGTGAACTTCATAGTTCTGGTTTGGATTTCATGTATTACAGGGCAGACACCAGACAGATATTTTGGGCGGGGTGCCTGGCAAGTTTTTGATTACATGGGTTCGGTCTGGTGTCCATGTCTCCCCCTTGAAAAGTTTAGCAGACAAAGCAACCACAGGTAGCAAACATGTCAGCAGTGTTAGACCTTCCCCATACATAAATACTATCGGTTTACAGTGCATTGTTTACTGGTTTAGGATGGCTACATTTCAAAAGTTGCTGTCATACTGTTTGTTTGGTGTAATACTTAATATGGTACAATTCATCATGATCTAGAAGCCCAAATAAGTACAAGAAATCCTCCACTAGCACTATCAGTGTTATAGCCTTGTGACATCATTCATCTTATACCATCATTGAGTAGGCCCACAATACAGTGTGATTACTTTGAGTGCTGATTGCAGACGTCCCATCGATCCCCGGGGAGCTGAGCCTAATCAACCAGCTCTCTATACAGCCTCCTTGTATACAATAGGCCACTGGCCCGCAAGGTCAGCCTCAAAGTCACACATACCCTGCACTTAAATGTAATGGTTATCTTTTTGTACTGCTGTCAATGTGAGTTATTTCATTGGCTTTAATAAGCTTTTGATGTATGTGTCTCCTCTTGTGCCTCTCATGTTATAATCTTGGGTGGCTTTTCATGTGAGGTGCGGCAAGACGACTGAGGCCTTTGTACCCGAGCCTGCTCTTTTCACTCCCAGTGGCAGAAGGATTACAATGGCACCATAATTAGCTTAATAAGTTAAAGTGACTTTTTATATCAGTCCACTCGCAACCTTTTAGTGTCTTATTTGTGTTCCCCTTTGTATCACCAGTAGCTTAATTGTAGTTTGTTGGTTATATAGACAGTTTCTTAGCCATTGTGTTTCTTCATTGTTCAATGGCCAGACCACTAAGAGGTTTCCCACTGAGACGCTTTGCTAAATATACATGAACCCTTTGGACAGAAATATTCCCAAATAGCCTGAAGTATATAGCATATCTTACCAGAATTTAAAGAAGAAAAAATCAACCTATTTGACATGTGGTGTAGATTAATTTGGCAATTTCTAGTGCTCTTACAATGGCCTGACGTGATGGAAGTGGTTTGGAGGGGGGTGGCCAGATGGGGGGCTGGGGGACTGGAAATTGGATTGTATTTTTAAGTGTCCATATGGTCACCCAGCTCAAAAACGGACAGGGATAGAAATTGATTCTCTTTTAATTAAAAATAACCACATCCACCTTGGAGAGCCACTTGGAGAGTAATGCAGTTAGCACACAGCTGTGGTCCACACACATCATACAGACAGGCGCAATGAGAGAAGCTAAGGTGGAAACAGTGGAAAATATGCTCTGAGAAAGAAGTGGGGAAAAAAGCAATATATGTGAGAAAAACATCTGCAAGATAAAGTGTTGGGGGACCGCAATTTAAAGGTTGTGGAGATACGATGGAATGTTGTTTTCATAAGCCAGTGCAGCAATGTCAGAATGGAGGGAGGAAAGGGTCATCGGAGGTTAATGATGTGAGATTAATAGTTTAATTAGGGAGCTCAATAGCAGTGCCAGAGGCAGCCACCCAAACCCCTCTGCTGTGTCCCGGATTCGGCAATGCCACAAGACGACAAGAATCGCCAGTGTCCTTCCAGAAAAGGGCAGATGGGGAAAGACATTTTAATGCTGTGTTCATAGTGATGGCTTTATTGACAAAAGATACTTGAGTTCCTTGCTTGTCCGTATTACTTATTACATTCTCACTTAATCTTAGGCTACTTTGAATTGAAATAATCCAGTATTACAAGAGATGTTGAAGAGTTGATGAGGATTTAGTTCGTGCTGAGAGATATGTGGGAAGTATAAGAAGCATTAAAGGATGTCCATATAGCAGTTTTTGTCACATCTTAAACATTGGTTAGTTTGTTGAGATTGGAGAAATTCAAGATAGCTGGCATAATCAAGTTACTTACAGGCATTGCCACAGTCCCGTGTATTGTTTTCTTTTGGAGCATCCTCTGAGGTGCATTTAAAGGCATTTAACTCAACCCAAACAGCCTGTGGACATGGAGCAGCATAAAACATGACTGGATCTCAAGTGGGAACTATTTCATGGTTAAATGGCCACCTTAACTTTTCAAAGATGCTAAATCATAAGGGAAGAAGAAAAAAAGATCCTGTTGGCGCATGTAAAGCCAGAATCTCTTTGTTGTTCCAGGTCCCTACAGTAACATAATTTAATTTCTCCCTAAATTTTGGCTAGTGGAGAGTTGAATTACTTAAAACCTCCGGGCCGTGTGGGTGAAACGATGAGAACAATGGTAGGAGCTCTTTGTGGTCTCTGAGGGAGAGCTAATCTAGGGGAGGCAAATTAATGAGGTTAGTGGGGTCGCAAGGGGGTGTATGGTGATGGATGATGAGCTAACCCCAAAATGGGAGCTCTGAAGAAACTAGGAGCCATCTCAGCTGCGAAGCCACCAACCCACCTCCTCCTGGGATCACTTAACACACTTAACATTTTCCCCAAACTGGTCTATTAATGTTGGGGTCCATGCCAAGGTGACCATTGGACTTTACCCAGCAGCATAAACAAAGCCCTCCATCCCAAATCTGCCCAAATCTCCTTTTGTATTCCCACTACAACTTTACAGACTAGTTTGGATTTCCATTACAAAGGGGTCACACTATATC